GGGGGGGGACAGTTTGAGTAACTGCAGTCTTTCGCTGAGACTGTCCAGCAGACGCACGACTCAGACCTGTGCTTGTTTAGAAGCCGTTTATTGATCAGCTACAGCGCAAAGCACCGGCCGGGCCGTGGGGGTAGAACGACCGGCACCATACAGCTCCTGCTCCTGGGGAGCTTACAGTCTAGAGGGGCAGCCAGCCATGCACACAGCGAACCGGATTTTCTTGGGTAGACCGATTCTTTGAGGTCTTCGGAATACTACTTTCTGTACGGGCTCTTCGATACAAAGGTTTCCTCCTGTTTGCCATTGCCGTTACTCAGCATGCCTTAAGCACATCCCCTCTTCCCCCAAGTCCTCATCCTGGGTTTAGGGAAGACACGTTCGGTTTTCTTAATTCGATAATGTAGAACAAAACTAAGTAAGGAGGGGCTTTTCTCACCGGGGGATGAGTAAGGTGAGGCAGGGAACGGTCACCATTTCTTCCTGTCAGTTAATTATTCTGAATCTTGTCATATTCTGAAGTTCTCTGAGAGGGTCTAAATTAATATTTTAGTACCAGGGACCCCACTTTTTAAGACTGAACCCGCCCTCCCCCCGCCCCCCACTTCTGTCACCCTGAAAGTCGCTTCTCTATCTTTGCTGGGACTTCTAAACATTCTTTTTCTGTGCTCTTAGGCTTCAAGGGCAGTTCTTCCTCCTGTCTGGGGTCAGTCCATTGTTGCCGGGCAGGTGCTGGGTTCTCAGGGAAAGTCCACTGTTAACTGACCCCCCGGTTCCTCCTTCCTTCAGAAAAATGGCTACGTGACCGTCAGTGATATCAAAGCCAGTCTTAAATGGGAGACCGAGCGAGCGCGGCAAGTGCTGGTATGTGAATTTTGGAATGGCCCAGAGGAGATGGGCCCCAGATGGGTGGAGGTGGATGGGTAGGTAGCACTCCGGCAGAAACTTCAGCCTTGCAGGCTGCTGTCACCACAGAGAAGCAAGCCCCGCGTTCCCCTGAGGTGCCACTGAGTTCCAACTCAGAGGCAGGCTTCTAACTGCGCTGTAGGCAAGTCACCAAAACCCCTTGTCTCCCCAACCTGTGGAGCCTGGACAGACAGTTCCTACACTTTGTCTCGGAAGTAACACTGTTAACACGGAGTGAAGGGAACTGTTAACCTGCTTAATTACGTACCCATAATTATCTACTATTATACTGTATGCGAGATAGATACAGATGTCATGGTACGAAGGAAAGGCTGATGTGAGGAGTAGTAGCAGGAGAATGTAACCCTGGCTTTTAATACCTTCTCCCTTATCCAGGCAATTAAACTATACACTGAGGTGTAGAGCAGGGTAACATAAACGTCTCTTTAATGCTACCGGCACAAGCGAGCATGTTTCCAGCCGCCAGAACTGCGAGTCCCTCCTAAACTAAGAGAGTCCTTCTGTTAATTTCTCCAGAGAGGTTCACCCACGAGTTAACGGGAAACGTAATGACAACAGTGGTCTCCGTTCTGCTTCAGGGAAATGGGACCGGGGCCTTGCTTCGGGCCATGGGGCGGACGTCTCTGCGGCCCCACGTCCCTCCGGGGCCCCCCCCCTTACCTTGTCTTTACCCTCTTTCCTAGCGGCACAGGTTAAGTGATTCAGTGGCATTTTTTGCACCTCAGGCCAAGGTCAGGGCCAAGGAGAACCCAGAATTCCAGTTGGGTCATGTAACTACGTGAAGGCACTCGTGTAGATTTAGTCTGAAAACCCCACTGAAGCCAAAATGGTTTGTCCGCCCCACAGGAACTCCGTCTTCATAAATGACTGCCTCCTTTTCCCTCCAGGAACACCTGCTGAAGGAAGGGCTGGCCTGGCTGGACCTGCAGGCCCCAGGGGAGGCCCACTACTGGCTGCCGGCTCTCTTCACTGACCTCTACTCCCAGGAGATTACAGCCGAGGAGGCCAGAGAAGCCCTCCCCTGACTCCGCGAGTGCGGAAGGGGCCCCCGCGGCAGGCAGGGAGAGGGCGGAGCTGCTGGCGAATAAAACCTGAATCACTTTTTTCTTTTTTGAAAAGAAAGAAAAAGTTCCAAGTTTTCTCTCTCCTCAAGACTCTTCACCCATTATTTTTATTTTAAAGTGCCTTCACATTGCATCTTTATTGGAGAAAACCTCATTTTATCCAGTAAGGATAACCTGAGTAACAGAGTACAGTGAGCGTGTACGAAATGACCTGACGGGTCATCTACAAAAGTTCACGGTAGAGCTGGGTCTACAACAAAGGTGGTCTGTCTCCTGGCTAGACAAGTCTAGTCTCTCTGTAGCCCTGGGACATATATTACAGCCCGTTAATTCAAACCTTGTCCTTATAAAAACGTTTATCTCAAACGAGCAGACCCTGATGGACCAGTAAATAATAGCCACTCGTCCAGTCTCCTCCAGCTTCCTCTAGAGCTTCCAGGTTCTGACAGACTTGGCCGAGTGTGAAGGAAGTAGAGGTCAAAGTTAGATGGTGGTTAGAGGAAAGAATCAATGGAACCTGGGGGAGTGGCCCAGCAGTGGGCGGAGTCGTCCTCGAGTTCCACACCAGCTCCCCTCCTGTGCTGATCGCTAGGTCCCTCGGGCCTTAGCAGCGGTTAGGGCATCATTTACTGAACACCTACCCTGGACCATCTTCTGGACCCTTAATCCTCACGGCCACGTTCACCGGTTCAGGGAGTAGGTTCTCCTTACTGTCTCAGGTGAGGAACTGAAGTAGTTCACGGGGGGCCACCAGCTTCAGAAGCAAAGCGAAGAGCCAGAGTCTAAGTCCAGTGCCGCGCGGGCCTTCACTTTCCTGCATCCTGGCTCGGGCCGGCCCAGGCTGGCCGGGTATCTCGGACCGTCTTCCTAGCCGCAGGGTCAGCCGAGAGGAAAAGCCTCTGCGCCCGAAAGCCAGAGCCCTTCTTTAGCAAGTAGGGAAGGAAGGTGGCTGTATGAAGCTGTCTTCGTGGTCTGAATGCTGAATTCCTAAGAGCTGGTTTAGTACCAGAAATCTGAAAACCCAGTGGGGTTTGGATTATCCAGAACTTAAAGACGCCCTTTCCTTACCCAGAGATACAGTCTAGATCTGCCTGTCCTTGGAGGACATGCTCCCTTCCCAGTTTGTGAAGAAGGGGCTCTGTGGAAGCAACTGAGGCCAAGATGGCATTCCTCTCCTTGACTGCCAGAGGTGGTCTCAAAAAGGGCCCTTCTACTTCTGGCTGGCGGGAGACTCGGCCCTGGCAGCCCTGCTTCCACCCGTGTCCTGTAACCGGAGTTTCCAGCCTCCAGACAAAGCATCGAGCACTTTCTCCCTGACAGTTTCAGACCTAGGTGAGAGGTGTGGTTATTGAGAATCCCAGTCTCCCTTGACACAAACCCTCCCACACCCAAGGCGCTTCCTCCTTCTGCCAAAACAAACTTTATTGCACCAAAAAGAAAAAAAAAAAAACTTCATTTATGTACAGTCAGATATAAAGACATCTCTTTTGACTCCTGTGCATATATTTCCTCAACTCAAGATTAGGGCATAAAAGTCAGGCAGGTACGCCAGACATGCTCTGCCCATGGCAGGGCCAAGGAGAGGATTGTCACTTGAAAGTGGGAACACTTAAATGGATGACAGACAACCACTGGACCAACAGACCAAGGGCATTCTTCTAAGCCCTGTGCTTGCTCTGGGAATGGAAGAGGGAAATTGGAAGCAGGGTCCCTTTTTGAGTCTCCTCGTTAGGAGACCCAGCCTTAGGTATCTGAGATAAACTTCCGTTCCCCAAGCCTACTTCCTATCCAGTTTGTTTGCTTCCTGCCCTCCCAAGTCGGACATTCTCCTTTGTACCCAACCCCTTCTGAACTCCCCCCAGGAAGTCCCACGACCTACAGGCAGAGGCCTCCGTAGCAGCGGGCAGGGCAGGCCCAAGTCATCCTCTCCCGGACACTGGCCCGATGCTGACTGAGGCCCTGCGGCACATGGATCGCCAACACCCCACTGGGAGCCATAACAGTAAGAATCTGGAAAGTACGGGGAGAACACACCAAAAAGGGGAAGGCTGGATTCCCTCAGTGCCCAGTACCACAGGGCGCCTAAAGCACATTTTTCTGAGCCAACCAGCTAAAGGATCACTGCGGCTAGATAGAGAAGCAACACAGCCAGGCAAATGCCCATCCGAGCCGGCGACAGAGCAGCTGGGAGGGCGAGGAGGGGAAGAGGCAAGAGAGGTGGAGGAGCCCAGAGTCCCGGCCTCAGCCCCTCTGCCATTGGCCAACCCTTGCTCCCCACAAGTTCCTGGGCATTGAGGTGAGGGGGAGGGGTGGGAGGGACTAGAGGCTGGGGTGAAAATACACAAGGACAGCCAAACAAAACACAACAGGACTAGCATCAGTCTCCCCACTGCACCCCGCCCCCAGGAGAAATACCCTCATCGTGGCTAGCATTCAGGAACATCTGTAAGAGACTATTCTATGTAGTGGCTCTCATCCCCCACACACAGCAGCCGGCTGCGTTGGGAACTTTTCAAATCAGTGATTGCGGGAACAAAATCAGCTTCTCATAGTGCCTTGCAGGCTTTACCAGGACCTTGGTTCAGTCCCAGTCACATTTACCTTCTGTCTTAAATCTAGAAATGGGCGAGGCAATAGGGGGGCAGAGGAGAAAGGTGCTCAGGTGCTAGGTAAAGCTTACTGATCAGCAGCCTAGACTCCACCACTGTTCCTTCTCTTTGGTCTGTCTAGAACAGTGACTATAAATTAGGAAAAACAAAATTATGCTGGCCCAGGGGAAGTAACGGGAGAAGAGGCAGGGAGGAAAAGGGCATTGGGAAGCCCTGCTTCAAGACTGCAGACAGACAGACAACCACCCAGACTGCTTAAGTGTCACAGACAGCCCCCCCACCCAAAGCCCCCTTCCAGAGATCCCCATCAATCATTTGGGCACACTCCCTCTTGGAATTACAGTTTCTGCCTCCCACCTACCCCTAAGGAGCTGGCCCTGTGGAGAGGTGTGTCGGTTGGTTGGTTTTTGCCAGAGGCCCCTGCCCTAGCTGCTCCTGTGTAGGTACCTTGGCCCCTGCTATGGGATGAACACTGCCCCAGATGCTCGAGAGCCAGGGAGGTCGGATCAGGAACAGCCTCCCCACTCCCACACCCTGGGATCCGAGCTTGCTTGGTTCTTGCCATCTTGCAGGATGACGTCACGTTTGGAGGGAGATACACAGTGCCTCTCCGTCCCTGGGGTGGGGGGGAAGGGACTTTGCTGGGGCTCTTGAGTGGGGGGAGGGGAGAAGGGAGCAGGGTCTAAACCCTCAGGCTCCCGTGCAGGTCTGTCTCTGTCCCAGACGAACTGCTATCAGAGTCCATTTCGGCGTTCTCATTATGGAGCCTCTCCAGCACTTTCTGACGAATCAGTCCCAGGCGCATCAAGAGGGACTGGTAGTCAAAGTGGCCACGCTTCTCTCCAAAAGGGTCCTGTGGGGGAAAGGAGACAAGCGGGATGGAAGAGTCGAGTCTGGGTGGTTCACCCTAGAGAGAGCAGCTTCGGGCCCATGTTGGACGCACGCTCAGGACGCACGCTCAACTTCTGAGCCATGGGGGTAGAGAGGGTAGAGCACGGACAGGCCCCTACAGCAGACAGCATACCCTCTGCTTGGGAGTATTACGGCACGTCAACCACCCAGATGGGTTTGGCCTGGGCCAACATTAAAATGTGTTTTTGGGGGCGCCTGGGTGGCTCAGTCGGTTAAGTGGCTGCCTTCGGCTCAGGTCATGATCCTGGGGTCCTGGGATCGAGCCCCGCATCCGGCTCCCTGCTCAGCGGAGAGCCTGCTTCTCCCTCTCCCTCTGCCTGCCACTCTGCCTACTTGTGCTCTCTATCTATCTGTCAAATAAATAAATAAAATCTTTAAAAAAAAAAAAAAATGTGTTTTTGTTCCCTGAAAGCAAGCCACTATGCAGAAGAGGGTCACAGTAAAGGTGAGACAGGCAAGAAACAAATTCAAGACCAGAGCTGTGCCTGTATTTTCAATTAACTTCATAAAAACCATATAAGGGAAATATCACCCTTCTTTCCCTATATTCAAAAAGGAAAATTTACTTTTCCAACATCACAGGCGAGTAGGAACTCAGGAGTTCTGACTTCCTGATAAGCAGCCGTACGCTCTTCCAGAGAGACCTGTCACCACCTTCCTGTCCGCTTTGTAGCTATCACTCCAGAGCCACCCAGCCTTGATCCTAGTCCTTGTCATTCTACATCAAACATCTCCAAACGTTTTGTGCTAACTGTCCTTAAATCTCCTTAAAAATCTCAAGAATAACTAAGGGCTGGAGTGGAGGACATAAACACAAGGAACGTAAAATGCTATACAGAGAATATGGCAGCAAAGGGGCACACGGCCAGGGTTTGGACAAGTGGAGACCTCTTGAGTCACAAAAAGGTACACGATTTTTCCCTCTCACATTCTGCTTCTCCTTCCACACTTCTGCCCACACATCACCCTCATGATCAGGGACCAGTGAACGCAAGTCAGTCACTGTGACTACAGCCCACGCTTTTCGCTTCCGAGGGTTACAGTCCCCACAGGCTGAACTCCACACTTACTCTGGAGCTGTCAATTTTTCAAATCTTCCTTTTTTTCATCCTTGGCTCCATTTCCACCCACTTCCCTCCTCCCCAGACACTGCTCTTCCCTTTCCTTCTCTCATCACGAGTTATTTTTCCTCCACAGAGTGAATATTGGAAATGCTTTTGAATACCAGCAATGAGAATTCCTGGGGAATGAACCATGGCAGGCATCATGGACTCTGCAAAAGGGGTCAGGAACAAGTTAATGCTGAGCTGGCCTTGCCCTTTGAGGGTTTGTTTTTGTTTTTTTTAAAGCAATCTCCAGACCCAACGTGGGGCTCAAACTTCTAACCCTGGGATCAATAGTCACATGCTCTTCCAACGAAGCCAGCCAGGCGCCCCCCCTGCCCTTTGAGTTTTAATGTGGCAGATGGGTGGGAAGTCCCTGAAGGAAGGACAGGGAAACTACCATTTCTAAGCAGCAGCTGAGGAAAGAAGACATTTATTCCTACTGCTGCTACTGGGGCCTGGGTGGGGGAAGCGGCTCAGGAAGAGCTGGAGAGAACCTTCCTCAGTAGTTCATCCAAGTCAGCACGATTCTAAGCAAGACCACCAGTAAATGATCCAAAAGACACAATAACTGGTCCTTCAGGACAGGGGGAGTCTCACCCTCTTACCAACCAGGTCTTTTATATTTGAACCCATTTACAATTTGGTTTAATAAGAATCTTTTTTTTTTTTTTAAGTAGGCTCCATGCCCAACGTGGGGCTTGAACTCACGACCTTGAGATCAAGAGTCACACGCTCTACTGACTGAGCCAGCCAGATGCCCCAAGAATCTCTTTAAAACAAGCCTAAATCCTGCATTCCTATTGGAAGTGGAAGCACATTTCTCCAGTGGAGGCAGAGAGTAAACAACTGCTTAATATCTTTGTAACAGGAATCTTTCAACATATACCACCACATACCCAGTATCTCCCTAGCCTCGATCTCTGAGCACCCACCCCTCGGAGCTAGGGACCGAACTCAACAGAGGACTCACCCTTATCATCACTAAGATTCTGAGAGGGCTGAATGTTCTTGGTTGGAAAAGACAACTAAGAAGGGAAGGCATTCCAGGTTAGAAAGCAGGACGGTTCAGACTCTACTCATGAGCACCTAGTTTATGGCAAGATTGAGAAGCAACTCCACATGAGTTAGGCAAGTCGGTCTCCTCTCTGGGCCGCAGTGACTTAAATGAACCAAGTTCCTTTTGGCTCTGAATTCTCTGAGAGACGCAGATGCTCTCCCTCGGGGGGGATTTTAAGTGGCCTGCTGTGAGGCCTCTTGAGTCAGCGGCAGAGGCTGCATTACCTGCATAGTCTGGCCTTGAAGGTGCAGGCGATCTTTGCAAGCCACCTCATAGAAGTCGTAATACTCCAGGAAGGACTTCTCCATCACCCCTCTGGAAAACAAGCAGCAAAGCTTAAGTTAGTGGTTAAGTGGTGGGGAAGGGATCAACCCTTCACCATCTAACCTTACTGTCCAATTAGAGTTCCCAAGCCCAGATTTGGTATCTCACAAAGACCTTCTTTTTTTTTTTAAAATGATTTCAGAGAGAGAGAGAGAGAGAGAGCGAGCATGAGGGGCAGAGGGAGAGCAAATCTCAAGCAGACTCTATGCTGAGTGTGGAGCCCGACTCGGGGCTCGACCTCATGGCCTGAGCTGAAACCAAGAGTCAGACGCTCTACTGACTGGGTCACCCATGTGCCCCCCTCACAAAGATCTTTCAATGGAAAATGTCAAAAAGAACAGCTGACAGCCCAAGGCTGATTTCTCTTATACCTTAGGGATTATTAAAGGAGAGTGACTGTTAATACAGATCAATCGAATCCCAACTTTCAACTCATGACTCAATCTCATTTGTTTTCCATAGGCCATCCCTAATCCCAGACCTTACTCAAAATTCTTCCAGAAGTTTGTTTCAATAACTCTGACTTTGGTTCATCTAGTCTGAACACTTACGAATGAACTCGAACACTGAGAAGTGGATTCACATTATGAAGGGCTCTACACCTCATCTGGCTACAGAACAAAGAAGGATCTTCAATAGGTCCAGGCTCTTATCAAACTAGGGGCTCCCTAAGGGTATGGACTATGTCTTTCCCACTGGGCTTGGCACTCTCCTAGAACAGAGCAGCTCTCCGAACTTCCTCGAGAGACCCTCAGCCACCACTCCTGGAAAGCACGGACTACAGCTTTCATTTTTCTGTATCTCCCCTGGTGCCCAACAGTGGATTTTGCCCCAAAGGTTCTCAAAGGTATGAACCAGCTAAGTCTCCAACAGGAACACCAAGTGCCAAGTGGGTGCTCTTGGCACACACATACCGTAAGGGCTCAGGGCAGGGGCACTTCCCTTCCATCATGTCACAGACCGCCACTCTGATGGTCTCATGCCGGATACATTCATTGTAATTTTTGCTGTCTCCTGGATGTCTCTCCTGTAATGTAACAGACACCAGAGTGTCCAAGTACAAAATTTAGGCAAAGAGAAAAGTCAACAGGAGGAGACTTCAGGATTAATATGGGGCACGTGACCCAAGTAAACAAACCTAGAAGGTACCTATCCAACTATGGCAGATCCATGAAGAACAACTGAGTTTTTATTTTTGAGATCATTCACCTCCTCCCATGCATGCGAATACCCATCCTCTGTTACAGGTCACCCATATTGTAAGCAGCAAACTAGAAATTTTTTTCCTAAGGCTGAACTGAGAGGCCTCTGAGGTAAAGACTGGATGGGAAAGAACCAAATGTTAAGAATGGTGGTGGGACAAAATGGTAAACGCGACATTAGGAGTCTCAGTTAAAAACCCTATAAATACCTGGATGCTTCCCAGCTAACTCCTTTTTATGTCTGCAGGGTTCCACCATCACTGAAAGAAATTACTATGAATCTATCAGAAGTAGAACTTGAAGTTTCCAAAAGGAAACTCCAAGGCTGATTGAGAAAGCCACTATGAAAGTGGGGTACAGACGGAAGGGAGTACAGTCTTCCATCCTTTAACCCCTCCTTTACTCTTCAATGCTCCTCCTACCACCAACCCGGCAACCAGAACCTTGGCCTCTGATTAAAACACATCACGGACAGAAAAGACATACATACCCTCAGTCTATACCATGGTCTCCAAAATGCACCACCGTGAGATCACAGGGGTGCTGTGGGATATGTTTAACTTTTTGAAGAAAACCACAGTATTCACCACCCGTCAAACACCATGGAAACTACAAGCTTGAGCTCAGTGGGTCAGTTCTGATGTTAAACTGCATTATAGTCCTTTCGATGACACATTATCTTTGTGAAGCTGGATTGTCAATCACTACGTTGATAAACAGCAGGTAGCGTATGAAAACAGTGGGGACGAGAAATGAGGGTGGTGGATCTGATCGGATTCCAAGATCTTCAAAGTTGTGTGGTGCCCGACAAGTGTACCCTTTCTGTCTTTAAGCCATTTTAGTTATTTAAGGAAGAAGTGAGTTGTCTGGACCTAACTGCTTAAGAAACGAACAGCTGGGCACTTCCTTCTGCCTGGGGAGCTGTGAAAAAGCCACCTAGATACCAGGGACTGTGAACCAATAATGTTTGGGAGTATTAAGAATAAAAATCGCATCTCTTGAATTGCCAAACAAAGGAAAGACCTTAAAATCAGCTCCTTGGTTAGCCAATGAGGCCCTTTTCCATTTCCACCTAATCCTAAAATCAAATATACTGTTTGTTTGGAAAGGTGGTCTTGGGAATAACTTTTGTTCACTCTCAAAGGGTATTTCCCATTGTTCCGGTCTATAAATGAACCATCAATGTTAGCATTATCTCAAATAGTTTAAAAATGAGTTAAACTGTTTTAATCACCTAGACAGAATTGTTATCTTTGGGGATTATCACTGGAACTCTTTCCCTGTACTTCTGAGTAATCCTGGAAGGCATTTTGGAACAATGGAAAAACTCTCGGCTCCACGGCAAATATTGGATTCTACCATTATCTATGTATCTTTGTGAAAGTTAATTAACCTCTCCGTGTCACCATTACCTCATCTGAAAATGGGGATAACATTTACCCCAAGTTAGTAATCTCTGCACCCAACATGGGGCTCGAACTCACGGCCCCAAGATCAAGAGCTGTCTGCTCTTCCAACTGAGCCAGCCAGGCGCCCCTACCCAAGTTGGTGTAAAGGTTAAATGAGATACATATATGAATATTCGGCAGTGGCTGGCATACAGCATAAGCCCTGGAAAATGCAACTTTCCTCTCCCTTCTCTTTGGCAGCGTTGACTAAAATATTCTTGCCCTACTAGCTAATGACTAGCCCCTCTGGCCGTTCCAGTTAACAGCGCCTTGTAACTCTGGAAGAACCCCCGGCTGGGCAGTAGTCACTACAGAAAGTACCTTAGGGGATTACTGGGAGAATGGACACCTACAGAAGAACCCACTGGTTGCCAACAGCCCCCAAAATCAAGCTTAGAATTCATTTCCAGATGACTCCACTGATTCCCACCTTGTAGATTAACCCACGTCAAATGAAAATAACCTGACGGTGTTATTTTAACTTACAAGGAAAAAAAAAAAAGTCATTTTTAAGGAGCACACATACCAGCTCCTTTTTTCTCCTGTGGTGACATCAAACAAACACACACACAGGACCCTTAAGCAGACCTATCAGAGCTCTTCAAACTCAGTACTCCACTCCCCAGCTGGCCCCCCCTGGCCTTACCTGCTCAAAGCCAGGCTCATTGTGATAGGGGTTCTCAGTCATTAGGGACTGGATGGAGATGAGCACGGAAGAGATGCTCTGGGCTGGGCTCCAGGCGGGGCCAGTCCACGTACTGCAAAACACAGCAGAGGGAGGGAAGAGGGTGAGGCCGGGAGCGATGGTGAAGGCCACCACAGGAAGACTAGTGCCCAGCACCCTGGGGCCTGGCAGCACCCCCCGTCAGTGAGTCAACTTTCTCTTTCACTATTAATGCTCTGGAATTTCCCAGCCTGTCTCGCCCTCATTCACCAGAAATCAGTCAACTGCCTAATCCTCTTATCAAGTGGGACAAAAGAAAAGAGGGTAAAGCAAGCAAGATAACTTTGAAGGGATTTTCATTGGCCTAGGAAAGAAACAGTAGCTAGGGAAGGTTCCATTCATCAAAATGGAAGAAATAAGGTAAGAAAACCGCACCAAAGGCAGTCTAAGTGTTAACCTCAGCAGATCCCAGAGCTTGCTTATTTACGGGTGGTGAAGGAGTTAGCGGGGAGACAGAAGCTGAGCACAGAGGTGCAGGGGAGCCTGAAGCCATCTGGTTAGAGGCCATGTGGTGGGGCTGATGTTCAGGGATCCTGCTCTGTATCCAGCCCCCAAAGAGTGTCAGATTCTCTGAAGACTACAGAACTCTGCCAAAGGACAGGAAGGGACTAAGGGTCAGACCCATAGAGGGTCTGAAGGAATATACGGAAACCATCCTGAATAAAAGAGAAGCACCAGAATTGCTCCTCTCTTCCATATACCCGACCGAGTCCTGGGAGGAGGAGCACAGCTTGGACATTAAAGACATTTTAGCTCAATTAATTGAAGAGATGGCACCTGATCTGGAAGCTGAACACAACCTAGGCCAGGACTGGCTTGCTCAAGTTCACTGGCCAGTTCCCTTTCCCTGCTACACTTGAGGAGAGTCCAGTTAAGCAAGCTCATCATCATCATCATCAAGGCTTGCTCTTCCGAGCCTCTCAGCCTGCTCCCCTCAGCTCTGCTCCTCCAGGAACGCCAGACTCTGCGCTAAGACTTCACATATTCGGGGAGGCAAGCCAACAAGGTACATTTTCATTACATTTCTTTTGTCAGTAAGGCAGCCTCAATCTTTTTTTTCTAGGTAGGGAGGAAGGGACTGAGGCTGACAGAGCGAACAGTCAACTAAGAACACACGGGAATCTTCTACCCTGTGATTCCTCATGGTCAAAATTCAACTTGAGGGTAGCTTCTCCTTTTCCACCCAACACGCTTCTGCCACTTTTACCCCACCATCTTACTTCCCCTGGTTCTACTGTGAGCTGATGTTTGTTCGAAATAGTTTTATACTGGCCTAATGGGAACCCAGAACATAAACACCGTCGTGCACGGGTGTCCTACAGAAACAAGTGAGTGTCCTCACCGCTGTGGGCTACATATACCGCTGTCCTATCAGCAGAGACAAATACCCTAACAACATAAAGGACCTCTTTAAGAACAACCTCCTTCGAAGGACTTCCTCCTTGCCACCATCACAGAACATATCCCTGGACCAGGGAGATTAAGAAAATAAGTAAGTAAAATAAATCATGCCTCCAGTTTGGGTCTGCTGCCTTTTCCCCCCCACATACTCGGAAACATGCTGGACAAGAAAGAAAATAGCACCACCAGTTTGGGCAACTTTCCCAACTTCAAGCTGCACTTGTTCTCTGCTCTGGGGCAATTCAGACCACACGAACAAGACCAATCCGGAAGACCAATCCGGAAGACGTTAGAAGACATTTCCATTCTGAATTTTTAACCCCCAAAGGAAATTAAAAGGGAACGAATGAGAACCGCATGAAGCAAAATCTCAGTAGCACCCAGATACAAAATGTACTTGAAACCCATGTTTCTTATCTGATCTGATTTCCAACCTCAAACATTTTTCATTCAGTTGTTAAAATATCATAATCATCCTCATCACCACCACCGCCTCCAAAGCCACTCATTGAGAGACTCAGGAACAAGACACCCACAATCTTAAATGGCACAGATCTGCAGCCTTTCTCAACCTGTTCGGGAGAGGATTGAGCCCTGATGCCCTGAGGAAGTGGTTCTCAAGCTGGAGTGTGCGCCAGCAGCACCAGAGGGTTTGTAAGACACAGACTGCTGGGGCCTCTACCCCTAGAGTTTCTGATACAGGAAGTCGAGGGTGGAACCCCAGAACCTGGAGGGCCACAAACTCCCGGGTGCTGCTGCTGCTCAGGGAGAATCACTTCACTAAGGCGTCCACCGTAGGTCATAAATGAACTTCTCTCTTCCGCGCTGAGAATGGCGCCAGATGCATACCACCCCGGGGAGAACTGAGGAAACAGTCACCCCGACCGTTTCCTGTGCTTCAGCCGGTTGACAAAGGCTGGCCTGGAGCAGAGTCATTTGCTAACAACCAACTTGGCCCCTTAGAAGAGTCTCCTCTTACCCTAGAATACTCAAGCAGACTTTCCCATTGCGGTAGAAGTTGGGGTTAAACCTCACTGTGTTATTGCCCGTTGTCATCAGTTTGACCCGAGGTGGGTGGATGGGATAGTCGGGCGGACACCGAAACACGAACAGGAAGAAACCCCCTTCATAAGGAGTGTCAAATGGGCCTGTGATCAATGCATGAATCTGCAAAATAAAACCCCATCTCAAAATTGTGAGGTGATGTCCCATCCCAACCCCTCCTGGCTTCCACGGGCTACCCACACCAGCAGCAGGACCTTCAGCCGGCATTCATATTCCGTATCCTCACCATGCAGGATAAACAGCCTGTACTCACTCATACTGATACATATGCTTGGAATTTTAAGAAATCCCATTACGGTGGAGTGGCATCTTACTCAGGGGTTACATTCTAAAGTAGAGCCCAAGGTGAAAATTGAATCTAATCAAAAATCACCCTTGAGTGTCCCTTAAAACTCCCTGACAGCATGGTTTTTATTTAGATTTCCCTCATCTGTGTTATTTATATATGTATATATATATACATATATAAATATAAATATAACACAAATCTAGATGGAGCACCACTGCGTAAATTAAAATATGCACCTGTAAAATATTATCCTAGCATGTTTAATTTGAAGAAACGAATATATATCTTTACTAAGCACGTCTGTTTGGATGTGCCTAAGTTAAACATGCCTATGATGTGCATGTGGCGCAAACGGGAGGTAAGATGAATGGAAAAGAGCAAAGGGACTGGAGGCCACCGCAGCAGTGCCAGGAACAGTGCAGAGCTGAGGGTCCTGATGGAGGCCCTGGGTGTCTGCTGCCTCCGCAGAGGATCAAACCTACTGCTGTGTCAAAAATATAAAGAAAAACGGGAAAACTCAGGGTCCATTTGGGGCCCTTAAACCATCCTCAGAAATTTCCCCAACACTGTTGGTTAATCTAAAAAAAAAAAAAAAAATCGGCAGCATTGAAAACAGAACGCTGAACTCTTTTCCTCCAGCCACGATTACTGAGCAAGCTTTCCCTTCCTGAAAGGAGGAAAACCTGAACTGTTATATTTCTTCTCCTACAAAGGCTGCGAGGCACTCCAGTCTGCTCAGAATTTAAACAGCAAGACGAAAAAGGACCTGCAATCCAATGCCTCAGTCCCTACTTTGCCCTGGTGGCATCCCGGATTATCTTTTAGCCCTCAGTCATCTGGAATAGCAAGCTCAAATGGCATCACAGGACATCAATTCTGGGACCCTAGGGACTAGCATATTAACACTGATGCTTGACTGAGGACAAGATGTCCCAGGAAAAACATTTCCAACCACATAAAAAGAAAAAAATCAATTTACAGGGAAACTTATTTGAAACAAAACAGATATACCAACAATACAATGTCTGAACTTTTACTGTAAGAAACTTTAAACTATGGAGAGTTTTCCTTTAAACAATATTAGATTTAGGAAATCTGATTTCTTCCCAACATCAGTTTAAGTGAAAATTCACTTCCGAGGGTAGAGCACTCAATGACAGAGAAGCCTAGGTATCTAAGCCGGGGGAATTTCAGCTTCTCTGTGTTTGTGTGTGGAGGACAAGACAGGAATGGTCTTTGGGGTGGAAAGGATATTCAAAAGCAACCAGTAAAGACAGGAGCCTGAACAAGGCCCTTTGAGTATAAACTCTGTTCATTCAGGTCTGCCCCATCCCCAATCTTCGCTGCATTTGATTTACAGCACCATACTTAAGTGTCCAGAGTGACCAGATGGGGGAGGAATTGGGTAGTAAAATGAACAGGATGACTATCATTTATCAGCCTAACTGGAGCATTTTTTAAGAGTGAAAGAGTGGCCTGGTAATAGTTAAGCTGGGACAAGAGGCATAAACAGGGATTTTCCAAGTCAACCAGACCTCCTGGCACCTGAATAAAAGACACCTGTTCAAGGCCCTGCTCCACCTCACTGTGTGACCTTGGGCAAGCCACTTATTCTCTTGGGATCTTGATTTATTCATTTATGTAATCAGAGATGTGAGCTGGATAATCTTTTAGGATCTTCCAACTTTCTGGGCCCAATTTCCCAATAGCCCGCACCCCCCTCCAAGTTACATACCTTAGTCATGTCAACAGTATCAGGTACAACGAACATTCCTGGAGGAGGCTCCTTATAAATGGACATGATATCCCTGTATAACACCAAGAGGAGGTGGGGAAGGGAGTAAGGGAGAGGAGAAAAAAGGGGAATCCCTTGAGCAGGACAGTTGTTATCACCTCAGTGAGGCCAGGGTTTGAGAAAGTGGTGCTTGGTACCACAAACGTCTGCACTATCTTGTTGGCTGAGAAATCTCAGCTGAGTACTTGTCAGGCAAGCAGAGAGCAAATTATCATCAAAAGGGCATTGTTTCCTCAGGGGGAGGGGGAAAAAATCAGAGATCCCAATGGCATCAGATGTCACCCTGGAAAAGCCACATCCCATTTACTCTCTCTTCCTCCCACAGGGCAATTCATTCACTCCCACCTCCGAGATTCCCAGGTACTACGACTGAATGCTAAATGAAGACTGTTCAGTAATGGGAAGACATAATCAACTCCACTAAAAAAGCGAATCCCATAAACAGTGGACCGTTGCTGGCAAGGGGATTCTATGAAGCAAGTGAGCTAGCAAGGAGCAATCAGGGTCTTCCTGCCCATGGCACCAACAGGACAAAGATCTCTTCAGATTGGAGAGGGTACCCTCTGACATTGCTGAAGTCTCACATCTGAAAGATGACATGCAGTGGCTACTACAAATGAAAGGATTTGTAGGTTGCATCGCCCAATCTAAAATGCATCCATTGTGAACGAGGGTCTAAAGAACATTCTAGATGGGAAAAGACTTGGTAGGGTACATAGAGATGTAAAGTGCAAACAAGTGATTGGCAGAACTCAAAGGTAACAGTCAGGTTTGGCAGACTGAAGGGGATGGAGCACAGGAGTAGAGGGGAGTGCTGAGGTTCTGAAGTTAGAGGTGGCGACCCTGATGGACCCTAAAGGAGCTGGTGTCTGTGTCGGGCACTGGGCCACGTACTTTACATACAATGAGCTGTTTAATTGCTATTACAATCTTGAAAGGTAGGTAGAGACATGTGAAGGAACTTGGAGCCTGGGGGGGGGGAGGGGGAGATTACCTAGATGAGGATGGCTGCAGTGGAGGGGCACAGGGAGAGGCAGAGACTGGTCATCAGGAAACCGTTTTCAGGATTAACAGCAGCTAAAAAGCATTACTCTTTTCCTATGCAATAGGCACTACGCGGAGCATTTTTGCAGAAACATTATCTATTAAATGATAGGATCTAAGATCAGTCACCCAAAAAATAAGCACAGAAAGGACTTGGGCCTTTGTTCCTATATTTGAATTAGGTATATTTACTTCAGAAAAGTAAACCAAATGACCGAGAGAGAAAAAAATACAAAAGTGTTGAGTGGGATAATACAAGCCAGAGTGAGACTGGGGGGAGAAAGCCTGCATTCCTGGAACAGGTGTGAGAGTGGATAGCTTTAGGGTTCTGAAGAAGTGGTTCAAGGGGAGATTGCGGGTATGTGAGGGAAGCGATCTAGACTTGGGGAGAAGGCTTGAGGAGATGGGGAATAAAAAGAAAGGTTGGCCTCGACTCTGAAGCCACGAAAAGCAAGCTCTATGTGTGTTACAAACGGGGCTCTGGAGGAGACGACGCGGGG